AAAAACAAGCTTTGAAGTATTTTTTATTTATTTCCTAAACTATAATAACTTAAATATATATTATTTGGTATTTTTCATCATTATTGAATAACATTATTTGAATTATTTAGTAAATATTGAATAAATTCATGCAGAATCATATCCATTAGTTAGTACTATTTGTATTTCTTGCCGTTATAGAGTGGGGGAACATGCTGTCGAGCCGGACCGTTTTCTTGACCAAGCGAATATCGTGAGCACGCACTCCAGTAAAGTATATGTATCTCGATGAGTGAGAGTAAGAAAGAGTTCGAAACGAAACGTTAAATGACGAACACCTCCTCTTAGAAATTTAAGAAAGTGAATCAGCGTTTTATTCAAATTACCTTTACACATAAACATTTTGGTCCTTCGAACCGCATCAGGGCACACCTACATTCGAAAGGGCATCNATTCAGATACGCCACTACGTGAGATGGTGTGGACGCTTTAAACTTACTTACTGCCGGTATATCTCATTTTTTCATTTTTTGCTAGATACGTCACTACGTGAGAAAGGGGACGATTTGAATCATATCATAACTATGTAAAATTGCATTGAACGCGAGAACATTACTGTCATTTATTAGTAAGTTCAAATTACAATCGCCCACCAATATTAAACCATCACCCAATAAAAACATATCCGCTAGAGTTTCATTCAAAGTCGATAGCATTCAATTGCCTTTTTGATGGTCATCACTTTACAATATTAGTCTTCTATTGACAGTAAGTAGTTTTTTGGGATTTTATATTTTTAACATGTTTTAATGTGTTTTTTAAATAGTTTTTATAAGTTTTTTCGTTTTTTTGTCTTTGCTCCTGTTCGTCATTTACATTTTTATATATTTTATAAGTTTAACTTCAATATTGTCCAAAATTAATTTAATATTTTCTCGAATGATTTTAACATTGTGTTTTCTCCTTTTAAATTCAGTTGTCACTGAGGATGGGGCTAGCCCCGAAACTAGTTTGACTTCAAATTTATTAAATATAGCAAGTTAAGAAGTTTTTTCGTTGTATTTTTTATCTATAAGAAACACTAGGACGCCATTAATGCTGTAGTAATCCATAAACATAATACAGCTAGTACGGAGAGACGAAGACAATTCCTACGAAATTTATCCTTGCAGTTGGTCGATGGCCATCTTTGTCAAGGAACCACAACATGAAACAACATCACAAGATGAAAACACTACAAAACGAGGTCGCTGTAGCTCAAAGACCTGGAGCGAATGGCTACTTAGTGAATCATATTCGCTAATTCGTTGCTTGACTGTTGCCTTCATTCGTTAATAGTTACTATGAATCATGTTGTGTGGTGTTCTTACTTAAGTTACTGTATTTTTGACTCCGAGACATGCAACGAATGGCTCACATGTCGAATCATATTAATCCATTCGCTATTGTATACTATTATGACTCGCAACATGGATTACCAAAGATTGTCTAAATTTGTTCAAAACAGTCTAAAATGATCAAAATGTGGCTACAATTACTAATTTGTACAAGATTTTCTAAACTCTTTTGCATCGCCTTCGAATTTACTTTTAATTATTTTTAATACATATCTGTCTAAGTTAATTTTTTTTATTCTGGGCTAGACTTTCTGGCAGTGTGTTATTCTAAGAGATGTAAGTACAAGGTTAACAAGAAGGAAGATAAGCACGGCGTCTGTCGTTTTATGATTTTGATAGAAAAAAACTATGGTGATTCGAATGATGTTGATCTTGATAGAGTATTTACGAGCGGCATTTCAAAGTCATCGAACTAAAATACTATACATGTAAAATCTTATCTAATTGAGAGCTAACATCGTATAGGTACCTCCACAAAGTTTACATTGTACATGGTTTATTTCATTAATACATCAACTACTTTCAATTTAATAGCATAACCGTGTTACAGTATAAGATAAGAAACAAAAATCATGAACTTGTTAGTATCTTAGTTGCCCAATAATATTATAATTGACCTTAACCGTCTATCAAGGTGATTAGAAGCAATATAAAGCGAAAGCAAATAGTTTTAACTTCATATTAGTCAATAACGTACACCAACGATGAAGGGTAAGATTTTATACATGTTTTATAATGTATGAAGATTCTAATTAAATAATAATACTTGTAGCTGTAGCTCTTTCTTTGCTTCTCTTGGCATTAATTGCCTATGCTGTTGCTAGTAAGTTCACTTTTTTTTTAACACCGAGTTTTTTACAATATCGTATATTTTTAGTTCAATTCTTTCCACACCCTGAAGATTGTACATTATTCTATAAATGTGAAAATCCGGAGCTTGTGGAATGCCCAGCTGGATTACATTTCAACCCAACTTTACAAGTTTGTGATTGGCCAGAACAAGCTGGTTGCGACGCTTAAAGTTGTACTGACAAATGCATGACAAAAATAAATATATTAAATAAATGTGTCGATTTAATTCATTAAACCTTAATATTGGTGTCCAAGACTTCCAAGACCAAAAAATTTATGTTAAATTGCAATTCTAAACGCAGACAAAAAAAACACCTCTATCAATTCATCAATATACAATCTAGAGCGATGTTTTTTTTGAATAACTTGAAAACAACGCAATATTTTGTTTGGATTCAATCAATGTATTGAAATTTGAACTTGTACAACTTTTTAATCACATTCTGTAAATAATATCTTGTAGGTGATTTAATCTTCCACGCTACCCAGGCGGGTTGGAAGATAGTTTCAGGATAAGATAAGGAAAAGAGTATTTCTGCTCCGAGGTTGTTCGCTTAATACTTTGTGTTACTTCAGTATTTTTCTCTCGATGAGATCATTTTACGTTGTGCCGAGCCGAGCCCTGCCGAAGGGTAACGTACGAACGTTATTTTTTTGTTGTTATGTTGGGAGAAGCGAATTTACGTGAGAGTAAAAAAGAGTTCGAAACGAAACGTTAGATGACGAACACCTCCTCTTAGAAATTTAAGAAAGTGCATTAGCGTTTTATTCAAATTACCTTTACACATAAACATTTTGGTCCTTCGAACCGCATCAGGGCACACCTACATTCGAAAGGGCATCGACGACGGGACGACAACGTGGATTGATGCCAGGGCACCGAAGAATACGAAGAAAAAGCGAGGTTATATCGTAAGATTTTGTTCTTTTTTCCTTTCTTTCCTTCCTTACTGTATCGTTATGACTCCGAGGGACGTGAAGGAAAAACAGAAACACGAAAGCATACTTAGACAATTTAAGGTAAAATTATCAATTTTCAATGACGTATCGTGCACGAGTCACACATTAAGCGAGACATCAATTCAAACGTTATTGTCATCCGCGTGTGTACGAGCTTATGATAAAGACGGCCATGAGTTAATACTACGCGCGTTACTGGACAGTGGATCGCAAAGTAATTTCTTAACGCGGGGAGCTGCTGATCTTTTGGGGTTAGAGAAACGAGAAGTACAGTCTTTGGTAGGAGGATTAGGTACTCACCAAACGAAAATTACAAGCGCAGTTGACTTAAATATAAAATCTTTGCACTCGAATTACGAGGAAAGCGTAAATTGTCTAATCATTGATAAAATCGCTGAGAACATTCCGATGACAACGTTCAATAGATTAAAATTACCAATTCCCGATGGTATACCACTAGCTGATGTTGATTTTAACAAAAGCAGACGTGTAGACTTGCTGCTGGGATCGCCAGTGTTTTGGTCTTGCTTATTAAATAAGCAAATACACATGGGAAAAAATATGCCAATCTTACATCAAACGAAATTAGGCTACATATTGGCAGGTACAGGTTCCGTATATCATTCCAAACAGAAAACGAACACTTTCTGCGCAATAACAGAACAGCTGGCTAGATTTTGGGAACAAGAAGAGCTACCAGAGCGAACTATGAACGATGAAGAATCCGCATGTGAAAGAATTTTCGAACAAACCACAAAACGAGAAGTGGATGGGCGATTTGTAGTAGACATCCCATTCCGAGAGAACCTTACGCTGTTAGGGGAATCGAGGACAAATGCACAACAGAGGCTCCAAGCGATGGAGCGAAGATTTTCTCGCGATGAGAACTTAAGTGTACAGTATAGGTCTTTTATCTCTGAATACCAAGATTTAGGTCATTTGTCTCCTTGTCTAGAAACGGAGAATGAAGCAGGTACATATTATCTGGCGCACCATGCTGTTTTAAAAGAATCCAGTAGCACCACGAAATTACGAACCGTATTTGATGGGTCGGCGGTGACTGACACCGGGCTGAGTTTAAATGATGTACAAATGAAAGGGCCTATCGTTCAAAGCGATCTATTTGATATACTGATACGATTTCGAAAACATAAGTACGTACTTGGTGCAGATGTCGAGAAAATGTACCGACAAGTACTTATTAACCCAAGCCAACGAAAATATCAACGCATTCTATGGCGAAACAATGTCGATGAAAAGATAAAATGCTATGAACTTAACACAGTAACATACGGATTGACATCTTTCTCGTATTTGGCGACGCGATGTTTGAAACAACTTGCCATCGAAAATCAGCACCAATATCCTTCAGCTTCTAAGGCGATACAAGAGGACTTTTACGTGGATGATCTTTTAACAGGAGTTGATTCATTAGAAAAGGCACAAAAAATGAAAACAGAAATTACACAGATTTTGCAGACTGCAAAATTCAACCTGCGAAAGTGGATAACGAACGACAGGCAAATTTTAAACTCAATTCAAGACCATGAGCTCGACGCACAACCCTTAACAATTGTAAATTTAAGTGATAACGAATCAAGTCGAACATTAGGATTATTTTGGCAGCCGCACAAAGATCATCTTCATTATTATGTTTCTTCCGATAACTACAAAACAATAACAAAGCGAAGCGTGTTGTCTATGATCAGTAGGATATATGACCCTCTACATTTATTAGGTCCGATACATATTCGAGCCAAAATATATATGCAGGCACTGTGGAAATGCCAACTTGGTTGGGATGATCCTATTAAAGGCGATTTGTTAGATGAGTGGTTAAATTACGTATCAAAATTAAAGGAAATAGAAGGAATAATAATTCCGAGACGCGTATTAATTAATAAACCAACTTTAATGGAATTGCATGGATTTTCTGATGCTTCACTTAAGGCTTACGCGGCATGCGTATACGTAAAATCGAAAAACAATGATGGTGAAGTATCAATTAATTTATTATGCGCAAAATCGCGAGTGTCACCTTTACGAAACATATCACTACCTAGATTAGAACTTTGTGGAGCATTACTATTAGCTAAATTAATGAAACGTGTAAGGACAACATTAGATTTGACGAGAATTTTATTGGTGTGATTCAACAATCGTTTTGTCTTGGATTGCGGGCGATACAAGGAAATGGAAAACTTACGTTGCGAACAGAGTCTCTCAAATACAAACCTTAAGCAATGCATCGTTTTGGCATCATGTTTCAACGAAAGACAACGCAGCTGATATCTTAACCAGAGGTTGTGATGCAGAGTTCCTGAAGGGTAATGATTTATGGTGGTATGGGCCGGAATGGTTAAAAAGCGATATAAATTTTACAGCTCTCTTGGAGCGTCCTGATGCCAGCGATGATGAATTATTATCTGAATCGAATGAGCCTACTTGCATGATTGCGACTGAGAATAAAGTCGAAAACGACCTTTTCAACAAATTTTCAAATTTTAGGAAACTACGACGAGTCACTGCGTATGTGCTCAGATTTATACATAATGCTAGGAAAAGGGATAACAGACGAACTTGTTCTTTGACAGCGAATGAATTGAAAGACACGGAAAACATATTATTAAGACTAGCACAACAAGAAGTTTACGACGACGAAATTAAACTGATTAAGAAAAACGAAACTTCTAAGAAATTATTACTGCTTAAACCATTTATTGATGATAACGGATTGTTGCGAGTTGGAGGAAGATTAAAAAATTCTTTGTTACCTTTTGAAAACAAGCATCAGATTATTTTGCCTCAACGACATATTGTTTCGAGACTTATAGCCGAAGACATACATGTAAAAAATTTTCATTGTGGACCGCAACTTCTGCTTGGTTTAATGCGCGATAAATATTGGCCAGTAGGAGGCAGAAATTTAGTGAGATCAATAACGAGAAAATGCATGAAGTGTTCAAGATTAAATCCTCAACCTTTAACCCCTCTTATGGGAGAATTACCATTAGAACGAGTAGGTGCTTCGTTTGCATTTGAACATGTCGGCATCGATTACGCGGGTCCATTCATGATTAAAGATAAGCGTACCAGAGGGTGAAAACAGGTAAGGGCTTACATCTGCGTATTTGTTTGTTTTTCCACAAAGGCTATACACTTGGAGCTTGCGACAGATTTAACAGCTGACTCTTTTATATCAGTTTTTCGAAGATTCATAAGCAGACGCGGAAGGCCTAATACCGTATTTTCCGACAACGCCACGAACTTTATCGGAGCTAGAAATAAATTACTAAAATTTAACAACAACGATTGCCAAAAAATTTATGACTTTCTTAGCGAAGAAACTATTTCCTGGAAAACAATACCGCCTAGATCTCCACATTTTGGGGGATTATGGGAGGCTGCCGTAAAGTCAATAAAGTTTCATTTAACTCGAGTTGCTTCTGTTTCGCACTTGGTATTTGAAGAGTTTTATACGCTGTTAACACAAATTGAAGCGATACTTAATTCCCGACCAATGTATCCTATGAGTTCCGATCCCAATGATTTATGCCCATTGACTCCCGGACATTTTCTTATTGGAAGGCCTCTTACTTCTTTGATCGACGAAAAATTAATCGACCTCAAACCTCATCGATTACTTCGATATCAGCGGGTGCAGCAATTGGTTCAACATTTTTGGAAAAGATGGAGCAGAGAGTATCTCTCTGAATTACAAAAAAGAGCCAAATGGCAACGTCCTCAGCCACCACTGAAGATCAACGATTTGGTGGTTGTGCAAGAAGACAATCTGCCGCCATGCTGGTGGTTGATGGGACGAATCGTGAGTGTTACGTGCGGGAGTGATTCCGTTCCAAGGGTCGCGGAAATTCGAACGGGAACAGGTATTATTAAACGAGCAGTTCATCGTTTGTGTAAGATACCTAATGACACAAGTTCTGAATGACTAAAAACGTGTATTTAACTCGCATCATTTCTTTAGTTTGTATTCTGTTTTGGTTCCTTATCACATTTTTTTTTGTATTGAAATAAATATTTCAAGGGGGGAGGATGTTCGCTTAATACTTTGTGTTACTTCAGTATTTTTCTCTCGATGAGATCATTTTACGTTGTGCCGAGCCGAGCCCTGCCGAAGGGTAACGTACGAACGTTATTTTTTTGTTGTTATGTTGGGAGAAGCGAATTTACGTGAGAGTAAAAAAGAGTTCGAAACGAAACGTTAGATGACGAACACCTCCTCTTAGAAATTTAAGAAAGTGAATCAGCGTTTTATTCAAATTACCTTTACACATAAACAGAGGTTGAGAACGAATCTAAACTCGCAAATGAAGTAGACTTATCTTTCATCGCAACTATGAAAGACTGAAAGATTCTAAGGAATATAAAAACTTAATTTCTAACTGTTATTTTTGAAAGATATACTTTTTATTTCAATTTATCGTTACATTTCAAGGGCAAATAAGACGAGTGTTTATTGCAATATAAAGAAGTCTCATGCCAGTAATGATATCTCTAATTTCTCTTTCTCTATCTGAAGTCAATTTAGAAGAAGCGGTTAACACATAGACGGACTCTATAAAAAAAAATGTATGAGTTATCTATGGTAGGTATTATATATTTTTTTAACAAACCTTCCCATCGAGGTATAAATAGTCCAACGTTTTTGCACGAATAAACAATTACGTATTCCTTAGGGACGTATTTGACTATTTTCGGGTTTTCAATATTAAAATTACGTGGAATTAAGACGTCTCTATTGCAGTTAAAATAAGTTGAACTGCCAGATCCTGCTGGGGAACATTTAAAACATTGACCGGTGAAGGGTCTTGTCGTTAAAACCATATAAATCAACTTATCGTTATTAATTGACTACAACGTATTAAAGTTAGATAGGAATTAATATGATGAGAAATGTTTAAATTAACTTACTTGTTGTAAAGATGCGCTTGTATCATTGTAAGTTCGACAGCTATTAGGCCAACCAAAAATTCGCTTTTGATGATGCTCATCATGATGTTGACTATTTTTAGTCGCATAACCAGATGTTATAAATAAATTAATAAAAAGTATTACCCACAACATGTTCGGATTTGTGTAAGTAGTTGTTTTGAAATCCGTTTTGGATGTAATGTGCGGAAGGGATCGAAACGACTCTTTAAATAGGTGAGAATGAAGGATTTTCTTATCAAAAGGAATTTTTAACTATTTAGGATATTTTCGGGGTATTTTGTTAATACGTCAACGGCGACGATCAGTTTTCTTTTCGTTGAAATAAAAATGGTATTTTTCTGTTTAAATAAAATGCGTTTAAAATATTTTTGTTAACACTTTTCATTCTAACATTTTTTTGGTGAAAAGAAATTGTTGAACGGAAAGAAAAGTACAGAAAAATTAAAAAAAGGAAATATGATTACAGAAATTTAAATACAGGAATTTGCTCTTGATTTTTTATTTATATTTTCAATACCAGCGCCGCACAGTGGCACGATACTGTAAATAAGTAGACATTCGACAAAAATCCGGAATTCGAATATATGCTAATTTTTTCTGCTAATGTATAGAAAAGTGTCCCTTTCATTATAAAATGGCCTTAAAACAACTTTAAAAAAGCTGTAATCTGCTTTAAAGTTACTTGATTAAGACTGTTATAAATCACTTAATATTAGCAACGTAATTACGATAAAGTTTTTACAGAAATATTTCTGTTTGTAATCCAGTTAACGAAAATCGGTTTATATCCAATAATAGTGTAATATTTTGAGATTTCTAAATACATGCTTACTTATACTCACAAGTATGTTCTTGAGAAATATTGAAAACATTGAATGTACCCTAATTTCTAAAATATATATATATATATTTCGATGTTTATAAAAAAATGCTCAAAAGTGCAAGATGAACTATTAGCGTAGGTAGATTAGCTATAGTGTCTACTATGGGAAACTATCGATATCTTATCCGACCGCATCCGACCAAAGGATATTTTCGATATTATTTGTCCCGCTGTTCCTTACTAAAAATTGATATTTTTCAAGTTTTTAAAAAATTATTCTAAGGTGCAAGGTTAATATTTACTACCACAAAAAGATTAGTCAAAGATTATAGGCTTAAGCCGGGTTCACACGCACTTTTTTTACAAGACAGTTTTTTACTGAATAATAGTAACGCAATCAGCATAGATTTGTTCACTCGTCGTTTATACTGCAAAATTGCGTTATATACTGTTTAAGATAAGATTTGATTTTTATTCAGTAAAAATGTATTCTGCAAAAAAAACGTGCCGTGTGAACCCAGCCTTAGTATTACATTCTGTCTTGTCATTTTTAAATTTTAAATTGGAGTAGGCTATGATTTTAAAATTTATAAACATAACCTAACTTTTGAGAAATCAAAAATTTAAACTGTCATTTTTAAAAGTAAACTTTTAATAGCAGTTTTCGAAAAAAGTCATTATGGATTTAAAAACTAATGAAGATCTGTTCAACATCGTGAACAAAAATAAAAAATTATGGAAGTATGGCGAACTTTACGATACCATTGCGTCAACAATGGACAGAATTTTATCAGAAGACAAACAGAAGATTTTGAAGGAGTGTCTTCGGAAATTTTGTGTAAATTTATTCAGAAGATGGAAGAAGTGTTGTTATAATAAAAAGCGCTTCCTAATCCGAGAACATGCTTGGTTACATTCAATATTTAATTGGCCGATGGGTCTAAAAAATGAAATATTTGGAGAAACAATACGTCCGCAACAAAATTCAACTGAATTTAAAAGAAGACCCTTTTTGGAATTAAGCTACCGTCAGAAGAAGAGGAGGACCAACGCTCTGCGGTCAGAAAATACTTTGGATGAGCTTATCTTTGCAACAAGATTAAAAATGGGTACACATGGATCTCGCGAACTGGCCAAGATTTTAAACCACCTTCTCAAACATTCTGAAGATATTTCCAAAGTATCTAATATATTATTTCAAAAAAAGAAAAAAAAGCCTACATTAACCCCTGATGACAGCCTTGCTCTTTATACATCTTTAAATTTATCAAAATGGCAATACAATACTTTGAGAGATTCTGTAGGAAAGTCACTGATTCCATCATATTATAAGGTGACTATGGCAAAAAAGGCCTGTTATCCACCCTTAGAATCTATGAATGTTACGGACACTGCGGCAAAAATTAAAATTCAAGCTCTTCTGGATTTAACGGTATCGAGACTTTTAAAAACTTGCTTGGATAAATTGCAATCAACAGAACTAGTGCTAATTAGTAAATGGGGATTTGATGGAGCTTCCAGCCAGAGTAACTACAAACAAACATTTAACGATGTAGATGCAGATGATTCTTTCATATTCATGTCAAGTTGTGTACCCCTAAAATTGTCAACTCCAAATGATGTCGTGATTTGGGAAAATCCTCGCCCATCTTCTACTCATTATTGCCGCCCAATAAAATTTGAATTTATAAAAGAAAATAATATAGTTATTAAGCAAGAAATGGCAGATTTGCAAAATCAAATAAACGCACTTACATCAACCTTTTTTAACGGCATTACTATAAAGCATCAAATGGTGATGACCATGATAGATGGAAAGGTTACTACTGTAGTCTCAAACACTCCTTCCGCTTCTACTTGTAATGTTTGTTTAGCTAAGCCCAGTGAAATGAATAATTTATCTGTTGTGCTCACGAAAGAGGTAAGATGTGATGTCTTAAAATACGGATTATCAACGCTTCACATGTGGATTCGATGTTTTGAGTGTTTAATACACATATCCTACAATCTGGATTTTAAGAGATGGTGTGCGCGAAAGGAGCATGCACCTTTAAAGGATGCAAGAAAAAAACAAATTCAAGCAAAATTTCGCAAAGCACTCGGTATTTTAGTTGATGTGGTAAAGCAGGGGGTTGGCTCTACTAATGATGGCAATACTGCTCGAAAATTCTTCAACAATTTTGATAAATCTGCCAAAATTACAGAGCTCGATGAAAATTTAATCAAACGTTTTGCTGTAATTCTTCAGACAATTTCATCGGGGAGAGAGATAAACATAAATGCGTTTGATAAATACTGCAAGCATACAGCAGAACAATATGTTTCTCTTTATGGGTGGTACTATATGCCATCAAGTGTACATAAATTATTAATTCATGGTGCGGAGATTTGCAAACATTTTTCAATTTTACCAATAGGAAAATTATCAGAGGAAGCAGGGGAAGCGAGAAATAAAGACTTTAGAAAATTCCGAGAGGATCATTCCCGGAAGCAAAGTAGAATTTTAGCCAATGAAGATGTAATGCACAACCTCTTGATATCATCAGATCCCCTTATATCAAGTATTAGACCGAGATATTCACGACATAAACCATCAAATTTATTTCCGGAGGCAGAACAATTGTTAGTTCATGATGAAAAGGGCGAGGAATATGATTCAGAAGCAGGAGAATTTTTAGAATGAACATTGAGTTGGTTCATCATTCATTGGGCGCTTGTGTTTATTCTTCTGTTTATACTTTTCTGATTAACATTCAATTTGTTGTACGTCTTCTGTGTTGTTTTGTGTTTTAATACGTTTGCCACTATTGTTACTTTTATTATATTTGTTACAATTATTTATTAAATTAGTTATCTGTTCAGTTGTGAGTTGGTTCATCATTCATTGAGCGTTTATCTTCATTCTTTTGTTTTTACTTTTTTTCAAGATACAGTTTCAAATCTGCATTAATTATTTACCAATTAACATTCAGGTGTTGAATGTTTTTGTGTTATTTTGAGTGTTAATATGGTTATCACGGTTACACCCTCTAATTACCGTTTGGTGTAATAGTTTCTTATTGCTATTTTTTATTACTCTTATTATGTTCGTTATATTTACTTTGTTTGTTAACTCTTTTTTTTGTGATAGTGGATTTTCTGCCATATAATACCAGTTTTCAAATCATTTTCTCTGAAACTGTTCGATTTATGAAAGAAGTAATTAACTGAAAGACAATCTTCAACGCCGTGTATACATTATATGAGCAATATTTTGCCAATACATTTTTGGTATTATTTTCATTTTAAATGAAAATAGAATTTGTAGTTACTCTATGGTCAATTTATTACCGACCACTTGTATAACACTAATGTGTGTATTATGACCACACTGTATATGACTCAATTATTTTATAGTTTAAGATTTTATAGTTTTTGGTAGCAATAATCTGTAAAAAAGAGCATGGTATAAAAATAAAAACACCCATGTCCACCCTTTTTCACTTTCGTCCCACTGTGCGCCGCCCCTAGCGTTTACGTTACCCCGGACAAAATGACAAACTACCGCCCTTTAAACATATAATACCTTCCAAAAAGTCTGCATCAAATAATCAAACATATAATGCTTTCAAAAATATATAGCTAATTTATTGATTCAAACTTTTTGGCTGGCACTGTACATTTTTAAATTATCTACTTTTTAAGTAAAATATAAATCAAATCCTTTTAAAACACAGAAAACGTATATTTAGAAAAAATATATATACAGTGTGTCCCAGGACAGATGTTACAGGAGGTATAATGACTTAAAATTTTTTGAATTTTAATTCAAGGCTGAGGAATTAAGCCCTGCTTGGCGTAAAGAGAATTTTAAGAATATTTTCATATTTTGAAAACAAAGTTGGCCTTAACAGTGAATCAAACACTGTTTTTAGTTCTGAAGATGTTATGTTAAATAAACTGTCGTTTATTCAACATAACATCTTTTTTGTTGCACACTTTTCTATACAATGCCTAAATTCTTTAAAGCTAATTTTCTATTGTCGTTATATTTCTTTTTCTCTCTCTTAACATTAACAATGCTTCCCGAAGTAAGAAATCTTTTAACTATTCGCATAACAGTTATAATTGGTATTAGGAAATCTCTCGTTAAACTGCTGTACCACTGCTCTTAGTGCACTTTGCCCAAGCCCATAACACTGCACGACGTAAATTTTCTGTTCTAATGTTAAGATAATGCAAGAGTAATTGAAATGTGAACTAAAACTGAGGGATAATACATTTTTTATGTCATATTTCATTGTTGTTTTTCTTCATTCTGATCTAATCTAAAATATGGTGGTTTAATCAATGCAGTGTCAATCAATGTATCAATAGTGTCATAATTTCTCATTCTGAACAACTTTCCTTAATAAAATTTTGTCGTATCATAAACAAAAAGCTTACTTTACCTGAACTAAATTTGATAGAGGTCGGAAGTGTCATACAGAACTTAAAATCAAAAAATACATTAGACTTGTATGGAATTACATCACTTCTATTAAAGAGTATGCGAGACGAAATAATAATACCGTTAACAGATGCTTTCAATCAATGTATGCTAGATGGAATTTACCCAGAAGAATTTAAAGTTTCAAAGGTAGTGCCACTTTTCAAGAGTGGTGGCAAAGCGAATTGCGCTAATTACAGGCCAATCGCAATACAAGCAACACTATCCAAGGTCTTTGAACGAGTCATAAAGAAGCGACTGATTGACTTTCTTGAAAGTCACAACATATTTAGCACCGAACAACACGGTTGCCGAAAGCTAAGATCCACATTATCAGCTGTTACGGGTCCTTTGGAACTGATAGCAAATGCTTTCAACAAAAAGGAAGAAGCACTACTCAAATGCTGCGATCTGACAAAGACTTTTGATTGCGTCGACCACCAGATTCTGCTCGCTAAGCTAGAGTACTACGGTATAAGGGGTACTTCGCTTTCACTCTTCAAGACATATCTCCAGAATAGAACACAAATGGTTTACTGGAAGAAAGATTCTCGGCAACAAGACAGATAGGGCAGGGGGTGCCACAGGGATCTGTTCTGGGCCCGGTTTTGTTCCTGATCTATATCAATGACCTACCACAAAACTTGACAGCTGATTTGACGTGCCTTTTCACTGATGATACTTCGCTGTTGGTGACATTAGAAACAGACAGGAACTCCTCGGAAGGTCTGAAGAAGTCGAGCTGGAAGCGAAAGAGTGGTTCGCCAGCAATAAGCTAAGAATGAATGAAAAAAAGACGCAATCACTCATACTCGCCAATAAAGAGTCAGATACGGGACATACGATTAAATTACTTGGTCTTAACATAGATTCCCACCTGAAATGGAATTCACATATACAGGGTGCCTCAGCGAGACCGGTCATTAGACGTTTCTGGGGTTTTGGCGAAAATAAAAATTTGAGAATTCAGACTTAAGTATTATCAATTACGATCTCTTCGTCTACAATATTTTCAGATTTCTTGCACTTCCGGTTATACCGGAAGTCGCCACCAACTTTATTTTTTTTTTAATGGAACAGCCTGTATATTTTTACATATTTGGATTTGTCTGTTTTCAAGGTTTGTTACGGTTGTATTTTTCCTATATGTTTCATTGGAGTGTTTAACCTTTACTTTCCTAATTCTTCGTTTTAATTTTATTTTGGGTTAGATATTTTATTTTGTTATCGAGTATTTTGAGTTGCATACATTTCGCGATGATTTATTTTGTTTATTTTGTTGAATTTTTGTTTAATTAATTTTTCTTTTTCAGCGACAATTCTCCGAAGATCTCCTTTCATAATTTTCCTTTTTCCTTTTCAATTTATTTTCCTCTAAACTTATTTTACTTCTTCGTTTCCCCTAAAAGATGGTGTTAATTCTTTCGTTATTCTTGCTTGTGCGCAAGTATCAATTTTTTGTGAATTTTTGAGGATATTTATCGTCTGTGTAAGATTTTCTCTTCCTCTTTTCAAGTCAGATCAGTACGTGTACGCACGTAGAGTTAGGATTTTTGGTAAAGCCATTTTGAATTTTTCGCGTGGTGATTGGTTCCTAATCCAAATTTTTGGGATTCATCTACGTGTTGTGCAACTTATTGGTAACGTTTTTGCACGTCCAATTATCGGATTACTCCGGATTAAACCGTATTTTGAAACTTTTCTAAGTTTTTCTGACTAAACCTCGAAGATCTGAGGTAAGATATTTTTATTGAATACATTTTATATTTTCCCTTACACATTCATACCTTCATTTATTCAAACATACATCCTTTTACCACCGAATTAATTAAACTATTATCATCATTTTTTTTTTTATCTTATTTTTCCATCCTTTCTACTTTTTTTTTCTCTTTTCTAATTTCCTCGTGTTTATTTAAGGTTTTAATTGAAGAGCATAAATTTTGGCAACCTTTCTGTAACATTTTCGAGACAGAAGTTTGGTTATTTTGTGAGATTTTCAATCCATTTTCGAAGTTCTACCTTTTCGGAGGGGTTCTTCCTTGAGGATTTTGGTCGAGGTTGCATTGCCACCACCTATTAAGTTTTCCTTTCCCTGAATCGGAGGAGATTGTCGCTGGAGCTGGAAGAATTTGCTTGGATCGTCTACACGTGGTCAAGACAAGGTCAGACCTAAACGTTTGTTTTTTTTTTTTTTTATACCGCTTCCCGGTGAGCTTTTGTTCAATTAATTAGTACAATTTAAATTAAATTCATTAAAATCTAAATCAATTAAATTAATTAAATATATTTTATTATATTATTAAATTATCATAGATTGAGAATATTCAGTATTGTTGTCTGTTAAATCAAACAAAATAATTTTTATTGTAAAATTTTGGCGTACTTTTTTTTGTTTCACGAATTAGTTTTTTTTTATTTTCTTTCTCGACGCCACACTGATATCAGGGGTACGGGTCGTACGCGTAATTCAATTCAATTTATTATTTTCTTTTTGCGTACTTGTTTTGGTCATTTATTACAATTTTTTTTTTTTGGTACGCCAACAATTCTTTTCTTTTTTTTTTTTTTTGTTGCTTCACGTTCGTTGGACAACAACATTTTTTACTTACGTATATCTATAAATAATATTATCTTACGTAATAATATTTTTTTTATTTACATTATTATTATTTTTTTTTTTTTTACCGAATAAATATATTTTTTTTTGCAACTTAAAATATCTCGAACTTTTTTTTGTGTTTGTGTCCACTTGTGTCGATAGCATCATTTTACCACCTCACGTCACAGTTCGTGGACAACGCAGGGTTAACNATTTTATTTCTACGCCAAGATATGCGGAAAATAGTTTCAAGTAACTTTTATTTAAAACTTTTTTTAATATAAGTTGAAGTTTAGGCTGTAGAACTGTTATTCCATTCTTTTTGTACACCTGTATAATATTTTCCTCTTACAAGAGTACATGTGCATTACATATTTTTTAATTCTGGTTTTCGAACAAAAAGTTGAATTATTCTTGCAAGTTCATCTATTTTACGTCATTTAGTTGCAATGTCCGTTCAATGTAACTTTACTTTATGTTTTAATGTGTTAATTTTGAATATTTTCTACGAAACTTTAATATAATCATCATTAATATTGTGACAAAAAAAAGTAATAGAAATATTTTATTATAAAAATTGTGACATCATTCCCTCCTTTATTTCTAAAACTCCAATTATAACGACGTTTCGGGAAATGTTCCCATCATCAGGTTAATACTCTTATCTAAAGAAACACGAATTACTAAATTAAAACTAACATAATTACTATTACAAATATGAAAAACAATCTCCATACACTTAAATCACAAAACATTTTTTGTTTAGTTTATAGAATATGATTTTAATTGTTTAGTATCGTATTTGTGTTGTTGTATTCGTTTTTTAAGATGTTGTTTTGATTCCCCTATATATATTTTATTACAATCAGTGCAATTTAATTGGTATATATATAATATGGGAGAGAAAACAGGTTTCGGACAAAGGAATACAATTGTTATCTGACCTTGTATGAAAATTTTTCTTAGACTTGATTCGTAAGCATGATAAGATGTATCGGAATAAATTTAAGAAACAATTAATGATAAAAATTGATGAATAGTCTTAGGTAAGAATCATTCTATAAACTAAACAAAAAATTTTTTGTGATTTAAGTGTATGGAGATTGTTTTTCATGTTTGTAATAGTAATTATGTTAGTTTTAATTTAGTAATTCGTGTTTCTTTAGATAAGAGTATTATTAACCTGATGATGGGAACATTTCCCGAAACGTCGTTATAATTGGAGTTTTAGAAATAAAGGAGGGAATGATGTCACAATTTTTATAATAAAATATACCAAAGCCTCCATAAACTAAAAATTATAGTAATAGAAATATCTTTATAAAATGTTGCAAGTGCAGGTGCGTTTTTTGAACTCAAGTTTTTAAGTTTAACGAGTAAGTCTCTGTTTTTAATTTTATAACATCAATTAAATATTGTTCACTATCGTATTGTAGCGCTTTTGAAGATGACGTTAGTCGAAACATGTTAAGCTGAATTGTTAAGAATAATAAACCAGTAAAAAAGTACAAAAATAAATTGATTATAATTTTCTTCGTTTACATTAATACAGATAGCGAAAAGCTCAAATTGATCAAATTCACCAAATTTCAATCATCCAAAATTATTAACAAGATACATGCTCGTGATTTTTTTAACAAATGATATCTTAAAGAGTAATATTTATATTTATTTATAACTAATTTTTATTAATATTGTTGCAGGATTCAGTCGACATCTATAAAAGTGATAAAGAGTTTCTTTTTCTTGAACAATACAATCTCAGTGTAGTTATTAATTACAACCAATCCATGAATTGTTTACAATTCCAATTTACCTCCGATGGTAAGAATCAAAATAATTAACTATATTTCAGTGAATCTACAAGATTTATTCATCTTCTTCAGTTTCTTCGGACGAAAATTTAACAGCAACAATAATTAGCTTCCCAAGTTCGAATCCACATGTAGTTTGTGATGACTTTAATTTTGATTTGGTAACAAACATCAATGAACCCATATCTTTTCTCGGGGAAGCGAATCAACTAAATTTCGGTTGTACATATAACATAACAGTTAACGACCGCTTCACAAGCTTATCTTTCAATTACTCCATACCGTGTATGATTTATTGCAATAATCTGTGACAAAAAGATATAATGATGCATCATTTTTAGATTGTGTCGATGGAAAATGCAATTGCGACACTCATTTGGTTCCGATGAATATGACCATGGATTATCAAGGAAGAGACGAATTTTTAATCAGATGGAAATTTACAAACGTCGAAGATAGAGATACTTTAGTGAACGTAACATTTTATTCGTACGTAAGCGATGATTGCAGTGATCCTCCCGATTGGAATAATATAACGGAACCTAAACATAAATTGTTTATGTGGAATAATTCCGCTTTGATCTACATTGAAGATAATCCTCATTTGTGTTTACTTACCACTTTTAAAAACAAGTATACATGCGAAGAAGCCTTCCTAAGAAGCCTAAAAGTCGAAGCTTATTTTTAATTTAAACGTTTAAATTAAACATTAATTTTTTTAGATTAATAACTCAACGTGGATCAATATCTCATACACTTTCATCTCAGTAATTTTATTATTGGTCATCGTAGCTCTTTGGTATATTCATAAATGTCGAGGAACAATAAAAACCGTATTAATAACGAGGGATCAAAGTCGTAGGCGACGTAGTTGCCACAACATTTATGGATACTTCCCAGACAAGTAACACTATGTTTATTAACTTCCTTATAAATAACCCAATAATATTTATTTAATTTATTTTTAGAAAGAAATGGGCCGAATCCACCAACATCGAATACATCGAACACGAAATTCTTGTAAATTTATTTTTAACAATCAAAAATTTATTTATTGAAATAATCTTTATTTAAGGAAGGACTTGTTGATGAATTTGAATTACCCAGGAACCATTTAAAACTGTTAAACGAAATCGGAAAGGGGGCATTCGGGGAAGTTTACCTTGGAAATATTATATTGAACGGTAACAACGAATCGGTTGCTGTTAAAACGTTACGGGAAAGGTGTTCGAATGAAGAAATGGAAGACTTCTTATCAGAAATCGATATTATGAAGAAAATTGGGCGACACCGAAACATTGTGACGATGCTAAAGTGTTGTACTCTTCAAGAACCGTATCGGATGATTATGGAATATGTTCCGTACGGAGATTTGAAGCATTATTTAATGAGCATGAGGGATAAATGGATTAAAAAAAATAATTTCGATGATGATGAATCTGAAAGTTATATTGTTCCAATTACACCCACAAATAAATTTACACTTGATATTGCTCAAGATACGATTCTAGATCACACCGAATTACAAGATTTCGCCCTCCAAATAGCTTGCGGGATGGCTCATTTAGAGAAAATTCCGATAACCCATCGTGATTTAGCCGCAAGAAACATTTTAATCGATGCGAATAAAATCTTGAAAATATCCGATTTCGGTTTATCCCGACCTGGGCCTTACATCAATAAGAATCACAATAAACTTCCGTTCCGATGGATGGCTTTGGAAGCAATAGAAGATCACTTTTATAATAATAAAAGCGATGTTTGGTCGTTTGGAGTGGTTTTGTGGGAAATTGGGACGTTAGGTGCTTTTCCATACGACACAATTCCCGATCGAATGTTGCTTTATCATTTGCACATAGGGAAACGTTTGGAGAGGCCGGAAATTTGTACGGATGAGTTGTATTCGTTGATGTTGAGGTGTTGGTCGGAGGATCCCAAATTTAGACCGACTTTTGAAGAGTTAGTTGAAGAATTAGATGTAAAGAAAAGCCGAATTTATATTGATTTTACCCAATTGAATCCAAGCTATGTGTTTCCACCGATTCGAGCGAACGAATATCACAAAGTTGAAACAACCTAAAAAAAATTTTTATTTTATTAATTAATTTATTAATTTTTGTTATTATTGTGAAATGAATGTACCTGGTTATATTTTTAACTTTTATACTTAAGATATGTTTACTCAATATTAATAAATCTCTATTTTTATCACTTATACGATTCAAACAACCTTACTTAGGGCCGGTTGTACAATATACCCATAAATCTACCTGATAACTTATCCGACCGATAAACTTATCGCGAGGATAAAGACATTCGCTGTTGTACAAACTGTTTTTGTCGGTAGGATAGCTATCGGCAAAATAAAAATCGGTTTTTCCCCATATCTAGTGATTTGTGCCGTAGGTTGGTAACGCTAACGTCTTTCTTTGAAATTTGAATTATGATTTTTACGACCGACAACTGAAACAACGTATGTATACGGTTAACGGTTAATGTTATAGGTTAACCTATGCAGTAACCATACAAATTTTTTATTAAAACCTTGGTAATCATAAATATCTGGCGTATAACTGTCTTATTATATATTAAGCACCGCTGAGTTCCCGATAAGTTATCCTGCCGATAATCCACCCAGTTATAATGTCTTGTCTTGTTATTACCAAAATGTCAGAGGTGTTCGCACGAAGACACCTACTCTTCTGAATTCATGTGTGAGTCTTGTTTTGATGTTGTGGTCTTGTCGGCGACATGACTATCCGATGATATTTTTGATGCTGAATTTTGTCCCTGTGATTGGATTACGTTTCGGAGGGATTGTAACTTTGGTGCGCTTGGCCTGTCTAGGAGGGGTGGTGTTTTGATTTGTCTTAAGAACACCCTAAAAGCAAGTCAGCTTGATCTCTCTGATTTATCCAGAGTGGTACCAGTAATTGATGTGGTGGGAGTCAAGATTCAGGGTGTACGTGGGAAAATAATATATATATTTGCTTTATACCACCTTCTGTCCCTTTTGATGCATTTAAACTATTTTTTGACACGTTTAATTCGTTTGAATATCTGCCTAATGAATGCGTTGTTCCTCTTGGTGATTTTAATGTCACCTCCTGTACTTCCATTGGTACCAATGGTAGATTTAAAACGACCTTAACAAATTCCCGACATTGCCATGATTTTCGTCAATACAATTCAATTGTGAATATCAACAATCGTTTACTTTATTTGATCTTTGCCAATATGAGCTACGCAGTCACTCGTGATCTCGATCCGTTGCTTGCTGAGGATTCCCATCATTCCGCTTTAGCGGTTGTCCTGGATTATGCTCCCCAGGTTTCCATGTTTAAGCATCGTGGCCTACCCACCTACAACTTTAAGCGTTTAGACTATCCTTTGTTGTATCGAATGTTGCGAGAAGTGAATTGGTCGGACCTGGATGGTATTGGAGTGGTAGAAGATGCATGCCGGCTTCTTTATAACAAGTTACACGACGTTTTTGATTTAGCAGTGCGTAAAACTGTGAGAGATTCTACGAATCGTCGTTGGCCTTGGAAAAAGGATTGTATTCACATGAAGGAGAATATGCGCGCAAGGCATAAGCGTACTGGTTCACTGTATTGCCTGAATGAATGTAAACGCTACAGATCTCTATCGAAACACTTCATTACCGATGCATATAATGCGTATATGAACAATATAGAGCGATCTTTGATTTCTGATCCCAGTAATCCCACAAACGCGAGCCCTTTTGAGCACATTTTTCTACATTCTCACACATTTCACGCGGTATTTCATTAATTTCATCACGAATATTTTGTTGAGTTGATCCAGCGTTCCTGGTTTGTTTGCATAAACCTTGCTTTTCAGATATCCCCACAAAAAGAAGTCCGGAGCAGTCAAATCAGGCGACCGTGGAGGCCAATCAACATCACCATTTCTTGAAATAACTTGTTGTGGAAAGAGGTCTCGCAGTAATTCCATTGCAATCCTGGCTGTATGCGATGTGGCACCGTCTTGTTGATACCACATGTTAATCAAGCCCAAAGCATGCAGTTGTGGCTTTAAAAAGTTTTCAATCATATCACGATATCGCTCCCCATTGACAGTTACCGTTACGCCGTTTTCAGTTTCAAAGAAGTAAGGTCCAATGATTCCTCCTGACCAAATTGCACACCAGACTGTCACTTTTAATGGATGCAAAGGTGACTGATGAATAATTTGAGGGTTTTCCATTGCCCAGAACCGACTATTCTGTTTATTCACATATCCATTCAAATGAAAATGTGCCTCGTCACTCATTATGATTTTTTCATGAAAATCGGGGTTGTCATGGGCGAGCTGTAACATCCTATTGGCATATGTACGGCGGCGTAAATGGTCTTCTAGAAGAAGCTCTTGTGTCAACTGAATCTTAAATGGAAACAAATGCAAATACTTGTGCAAAATTGTGGCCAAAGTTGTTCTTTGAAGACCAAGTTCCTGAGCACGTCGTCGAATTGAGGTCGATGGATTGTTTTGAACACTTTTTTGAGCAGCAGTAATGTTTTCAGCCGATCTTGCAGTACGTTGTGGTCCATGCTTGGGCCTATCAGCTACAGTCCCTCTTTCTTCGAAATCATTCACTACACGATAAATAGTGCGTCTTGTTGGGTTGGGTTGGGTTGTTTCTCCCAAAAATTTCACGTAACTTTCTCATCGTCACAGTAATCGATGATTGATTTTGATAAAATGTTTTAACGATTAAAACACGTTGGTTTACCGAATATTTTTCCATAATAAATTTGCCACGTCTCTACTTCACGACTACCAAATATGAACTGTCAAGACTAATGTTTACCAAAATGGCGGCAAAACAAAGTAGTATACCTTCTCGGCGGACACCGGTAGAATCGTAAACTATGCATTTGATCATGTGATGATCTTTAGCAAAGTTGTTGTGCATGAGCCCACGAAGGTTTCTATGTCACAATTTGTTCAAAATGAACAAAATCAATAAAGTGAAAAAAAATGAATTGAATATTTGCGTAATGTCTTTAATTCAAATTTATTTTAGTTAGTGGCGTAGCAACGCGCGCAGTGTACAGCTAGTATAGAATAAAACTTCAGTTCATTTTGGTTCATTTTCATCATTTCATAACGAAACACGTATTTTTTGTCCTTAAATGAGGTTATACTGATGAATTTGTTTAAATTACAACCAGTAAACTTCAACACAACGAACAACAATGTGGTGATGCCGGCAGTTGATCGATACAAATTAATCATATTTAAGATAAGTGAAATTTTCAATGATAATTAAAATAAAAACGAATAATAATGAAATTGAAAATTGTAACTTAACTTATCTTGTAGTTTACTGAAGTTCTCGGTTAAGGAAACTTGGACTCTTCAAAGGAATCAGAAACGATGATTCTTGATTGGATTGGAATAATTCTTCGGTATGGTATACTGGATTAATTGGATCAGGAACCAGTTAATTTTCTTTTTTATTATTAAAGGTGATTAATTTTAATTCGAATAATCTTCTTATTATTTAACTTATTAAAGCAATAAGTTTTCTATTTTTGAGGTTATGTCACAATGGTGATTGACAAGTAAATTAACTTTTGTTTTGATTTTTAAAATGAGGACAAAAATTAGCGTGCACTCCTCATCACGTTCGAAATCACACTAAAATCTACCAGTTTCGTTTGTTTATTACTATAACGTTTAAATAACGTTTTCTGATTGGTTAAATTCTTCAACTTGAAATTCGTAATTTAAATTTCTCCAGTATTACCAACTTCGAAATGTCAAATGTCACCAATTAAATTTTATCCAAAATTATTAAAATATCTATTTCAACAATATTTATGAATAAAATGTTGTAGTTTTATTGCTTTAACTTTGTTTTGGTGATTTCGTAACATTTTCTTTTGGATTTCAACGTCCAGCTTCAAAAATTATTCAAATATGTAATCTAAGGATTTTCATCAAATTCTTCATCAAAACTCCCATATGATGGATGGTTTTCGTTCTTTACATGCTAAAATTATCGTTTTCAATACTTTTAACCCGACAAATATGAATTACAATAAGAAATTAATGAAAAATGAAATTTGAGGTTATGTCATTGTCAAAATTCTACAAAATTATTTCGTATCGACTTTACATGGATTAAATACAATAAAAAACGTAAACGGCCTATAATACATAATGAATTCTAATATATTTACAACACTTTATTAATACAAAAGCAAATTTTTATAATTATTATTTGTAACCTCACCCACGATTAATACGATTTGGTTATATTATTACACTTATATAACCACTTAGGTGTTTCAAAGACTTCAATTACGATTATTTATTACAGATTAATACAAAACGTTAATAAATAATAGTAAAGCATTAATTTTTATTTGTAGTTTGTGACAATTGCCTCAACTGCTTCAAAACTGTTTCTAACAATTTCTTCTTTTCCCTTTCGCTTTTCTTCAAGACGGTAAACATAGTTTTTTTATCACCTTCTCTTAATCTAAAACGTAAATTTAAATCAAAATTAACAAGTTATTGTGTTAATAATCACAAACTTTTCCAATAAAATAATAGCCGTTTCTGGATTAACCAATTTGTATTTGCTATTTTCCTGGCCGTGATCGTGGAAATAAGTGGGCCAATCCCACGATATTATTAAATCTAAAATTTCGCGTAATTGCGCGAAATATGATAAAAGGGCGTCTTCTTGGAGCCCTTCAACGCGTTGCAAAGCAGCAAATTCTACAACAAAATCAAAAATTAATTAATCAACTAAAACATGTGATTAATTAAGTTACGTTCGCATTGTAATAGATCCAAATTGATTTGGTTTAGAGCCCCCATCGAAATTTGTTTAATGTTATCATCCAATAAAATCTCCGTTAAGCAACCTGAAATGTGTTGACAAGTTGATTTACAAGCTGCTTGGGCGACTTGCGCCGGTAATTTAGTGAATCCCAATAAAGTAGTTTGCAAAAACGAGATTAAATCGGTTATAAAACTCGAAGCATGTCCTTGAGGCTCAACTAATAACCAATCGTAGCGTTCCAACTCGATAAATTCATCAATTTTTTGTTTCAATTTTTCGCAAATTTGTCTTTCAGCGTCTTCTCTAGCAGCGCGAAACAACGCTGGTTGTCCCTGAATGACCGTTGAAGACACCCCACGGGTTTCCTCCCCGGTTATATTCGAAATAAATTCGTCCAAATAAACCGTCGCTTTCTCTAAATAACTAGTATCAACGATTATTTGAATAATTTCTTGCAAATTAATATGCGGGCTACGAAATATCGACGATAAGCACCCGATAAAAGTACGAGTCAAAAGCAAATTCATCGATTTTCGTATCATCTCATCGACTTCAACTTGACTCAGATTTAAATCTTCCGAAAATTTCAAACAGGCATAAATAAACTCTTTGACTTCGTTATAAACTTTCGGAACCATCCCGGAAAATGGAAAACCAAACGGAAATTCAATAGGTTCATCTGGGAGGTTATCATCAATAGGAAATTCGGATAAAACTCGTCCAAACGACTCCATATCGTTCACTTCGAGCGGTTTGAACGTTTCGTTTGATAAAATCTCACGAAAAACTTGCACCCAACGTTGCATTAACACCTCTGTGTAATGATCGCGTAATTCTCGCATTAATTCCAACAACGGTTTTACGGTGTAACCATAATTTCTTAATGTGGTGCAAAACAACATTATTAAGTCTTTTATACGTAGAATTAATGTTGCATCGGTACAATAAGCCTAAAAGAATCATTTCAATGAAGATGTAAAGTTAAATTAATTCAGGGTTACCGAATGCGTTTGTAAAGTTGAAACAATTTTGGATAAAGCGGTATTCCACATTTCATCCAAAAAAGCTCTCGTTATCAATCCGTTTCCGGTGTTGAGAATGTGATCTTCTAATATAAAAAAGCCCAGAATCGAATTTATGTATTGTCGGTAACTGTCTTCGGCTTCGTGCTTAAATTAATTAATTTAGACGATTTTTTAATAATTGAGTTAATTTAAATTGGAAAAATTCAAGAATCATCATGTGGCTTAAAAATCCCAAAAAACACGTTTTCTAATTTAAAAATTCCTGGAAGCCGTATTTATTGAAATTAAGGAATGAGACTTATTCTAAAATAAAGCTCAAAGCTTTCTCTTTACAACGGTGTATAATAATTGTTGGGTTGGATTGTAAAAATATTGGGAAAAAAAATGTTGAAACAAAACTTACATTTTCGTATAACCTAAAAGTGTCAAAAAAGATGCTAATTTAAAAATTCCTGCAAGCCGTGTTTATTGAAATTAAGGAATGAAACTTATTCTAAATTAAAGCTCAAAGCATTCTCTTTACAATGATGTATAATAATTGTTGGGTTGGGTTGGAAAAATATTGAGAAAAAAAATGTTGAAACAAAACTTACATTTTCGTATAACCTAAAAGTGTCAAAAAAGGTGTTAATTTAAAAATTCCTGGAAGCCGTATTTATTGAAATTAAGGAATGCGGCTTATTCTAAATTAAAGCTCAAATCTTTCTCTTTACAAAGATGTATAATAATTGTTGGGTTGGATTGGAAAAATATTGAGAAAAAAAATGTTGAAACAAAACTTACATTTTCGTATAACCTAAAAGTGTCAAAAAAGATGCTAATTTAAAAATTCCTGGAAGCCGTATTTATTGAAATTAAGGAATGAGACTTATTCTAAATTAAAGCTCAAAGCTTTCTCTTTAAAATGATGTATAATAATTGTTGGGTTGGATTGGAAAAATATTGAGAAAAAAAATGTTGAAACAAAACTTACATTTTCGTATAACCTAAAAGTGTCAAAAAAGATGCTAATTTAAAAATTCCTGGAAGCCGTATTTATTGAAATTAAGGAATGAGACTTATTCTAAATTAAAGCTCAAAGCTTTCTCTTTAAAATGATGTATAATAATTGTTGGGTTGGATTGGAAAAATATTGAGAAAAAAAATGTTGAAACAAAACTTACATTTTCGTATAACCTAAAAGTGTCAAAAAAGATGCTAATTTAAAAATTCCTGGAAGCCGTATTTATTGAAATTAAGGAATGAGACTTATTCTAAATTAAAGCTCAAAGCTTTCTCTTTAAAATGATGTATAATAATTGTTGGGTTGGATTGGAAAAATATTGAGAAAAAAAATGTTGAAACAAAACTTACATTTTCGTATAACCTAAAAGTGTCAAAAAAGATGCTAATTTAAAAATTCCTGGAAGCCGTATTTATTGAAATTAAAGAATGAGACTTATTTTAAATTAAAGCTCAATGCTTTCTTTTTAAAATGATCTGTAATAATCACACCTAATAACCATTTATCAAAGAGATACCTTTGTGAACAACAAAATTCAACAAAGTTTAAATATACCTAAAAACCCTACAGTGCGGATTGTGTCATTTTTTATACAGATTCTTTCTTGTATAGTAGAAAGTACCGACAGCTCTAAATGCGCCGAATAGATGACTACAGTTTAAAATGAGTGTTTAAAACTACCGGTACTTTAAAGTACCGTCGGGACACAAAGGGTTAAACCGGTCAACACCTAACCTAGAACTAGAATCATTCGGCTTCAGCCGTCTTGAGAGACGTACGGCTAAACCCAAATGTTTCTAGTTCTAGGTCTAGTGTTAGTTCTAGTTTTAGTGCAATAAAAATATGCAATATAATAACATTTTATGCTAACTAGCGCTACCTACCACTAAAACTAAAAACATTCAGCATTAGCCGTCTTAAGAGACGCACGGCTAAACCCGAATGTTTCCGGTTCTAGGTCTATGTTAGTTCTGCAAAACCTCTTTGGTTTTGGCGACCGTGGTTCTGATTATTGCTACGTAGGCCCAATGAGAAATTCGTGGTTTGAGACCCCAGTTCCTTCCTAGGAGCCTGCGGCAGATTATTATTATTATTATAAGTGTTAGTTCTAGTTTTAGTGCAATAAAAATATGTAACATAGTGATATCTAATTCCAACTAGCGCTTATTACCACTGTCACTAGAACTAACATTAGACCTAGAACTAGAAAAATTCAAATTTAGCCGCACGTCTTTCAAGACGGCTAAAGCCGAATGATTCTAGTTCTAGGTCTTGTATTAGTTCTAGTGATAGTGTAAAACTACAACTAACACTAGACCTAGAACTAAAAAGTATCGTAACCCACCCCGGAATTTACAACCCACCCTCTACTACATGCCCAACCCAACATTTGAGAAATTCGCACTAGTTTAAATGTTAATTAACCTAACTCAAAGTGGAATTTCTACACAAAATTCTGAAATAAATCAGTAAATTAGGTGGATCTGATAGTTGTTTGATTAGGTGATTAAATACAACGGTAAGTATTTTGAAAATTACAACAATGTGTAATTGGGAAACCATATGATACCTTTCCTGTTGGCGGTGCAATAATGTCTTATTGAGATCTTGCAGAAGAAATAAATAAAACGAAAAGAAGATTAAATTAGCGAATGATTACACCCCTTACAAGATTTTTTGAAAATGTTCCATCGACGTCAATTGCGAGTGGATTCAATGAAGAAAATAGAAATGACAATCAAGATGAAGAACAGTCTACCAGAACAAAAAAAATAAAGGAGAAGTGAAGAAAAATTCAGATACTGAAAACAGTGACGAGGATCTTGAAAAAGATAAAGAGGATCATGATGATCTATGTGACCTATCTATAATAACAGCTGATGATGGTCAAGGTTTAAATAAGAGTTTAATTAATTTAAGAGATCCCGGATTATGGCCGGATGTTCTAGAAGTTAATGATAGAGTTTTCTTAGTCGAAAATAAACCCGAACAAGTAAGAAGTATAGCATTTCCTAAGAACAATGCTAAGAGAAGCTTTTCTGAAAGGTACTACAATAAAATCCTTCCAAACAAAATGAGTTGTCTACTCGCCATCAAAAGATGCAGTGTTTTGTTATAATTGCAAGCTATATTCATTCCCACGTCATGACAGGACAGTGTATTAGTCAATGGCGGTTATAATGATTGGCGTCATTTATCCGAAGCTCTTTGTGTTCATGAAAGCGCACTAACAATAAGTCATATAAAATGTTCTAAACTATTAATATCATTAAAGAATACTTTGAAATTGAAAATTGGTGTGGATGCACGTCACCAATCATTAATCGATATAGAAACAAAGATGGGAATTCTTAAAAGAATTATTTTATGTATTCAGTACTTGGATAAGCAAAATTTAGCTCTTAGGGGTACAAATTCAAAACTTTTTGACGAAAATAATGGATATTTTTACAACTTATAGACATGATTTCGAAATTTTATTGTCAGATCACGTATAAAATAATGCTACAAAAAATGACACATGATTAGTTGTGCTAAAATTTATTATTCTGATACACTTATGTAAGACCGCTTTTAATTCTGCAGGAATTCTTTTCATAACCAACGCATCTCGATGTATAGCACAATGGGACCACTCTGTTATTCTTCCAGACATAACTTTAGCACCGTCTGTGCTTACACCAACACATTTCGTCCCATCGAATTTATTTTTATTGAAAAACGTATTTAATTTTTCAAAAATTTCTTCTGCGGTGGTGTTAATAAGAAATCTACAAAGAACAGGTCCTCGAGAACGGCATCTTTATGCTTGTATCTCACACAGCACCATAAAACTGCCTGACTAGTTACGTCCGTTGTTTCATCCAACCGTATAGCAAACCAAGGTGATACACGAACTTTTTGTATTAATTGATCTTTTATGTTTTCTGCCATACTTTCAATTCTTCTTTCCGCTGTCAAACAATAGACAACGGAATTTGTGTTTAAAATTGTGTTAAAATCCGTGTTTTTTTGTTGAAACTCTGGGTGCTTTGTTTCAAACTGGTGTCTTAACTTAGCTGGTTTCATAAAATCATTTGCTAGCACCTGGCTGCAATGACGGACCTTCTTCTCGACAGGAAGTTTTACAAAGGAAGTTACAAACAAAACTGGATCTGAAAGAAACGTATTCTTTCGTTTCGAGTTAAAACTGATTTTCTATATGAAATTTGAGTAACGATGTCTGTTGTTTCATTACCCTGTATAATAAAAAAGTAAAAATGTACTCGCCTTTGTAACATTTTCTAACCAAATATTGCTTGAAAAATGTTAATATTGAGTTTGGTTACTTAATTTCTTCTTTAAACGATTTTTGCGAACCTTCACTAAGAACACGAACACTGATGGATTTAAAAGAAGAAGTAGAAAGAAGAGTTAACTTATAACGACAAAGTAGTCGCTAAGAAACAAAATAGGAAACTTAAAAAGTAATATTAACAACCTCCATACCCAAAATGTCCTAGAAAATGTTACATATTTCTTATGATTGTGAGAGTGATATAAATCTTTAATACAATCTATGTATGCAATTTCGTATGTTGTCGTTTAAACTTTTATTTTTATGTAATTTATTTGCCTACTATTTTTTTCTCGGTTACAGCATTCNAAAAGTGTCAAAAAAGATGCTAATTTAAAAATTCCTGGAAGCCGTATTTATTGAAATTAAAGAATGAGACTTATTTTAAATTAAAGCTCAATGCTTTCTTTTTAAAATGATCTGTAATAATCACACCTAATAACCATTTATCAAAGAGATACCTTTGTGAACAACAAAATTCAACAAAGTTTAAATATACCTAAAAACCCTACAGTGCGGATTGTGTCATTTTTTATACAGATTCTTTCTTGTATAGTAGAAAGTACCGACAGCTCTAAATGCGCCGAATAGATGACTACAGTTTAAAATGAGTGTTTAAAACTACCGGTACTTTAAAGTACCGTCGGGACACAAAGGGTTAAACCGGTCAACACCTAACCTAGAACTAGAATCATCTAACTAGCGCTACCTACCACTAAAACTGAAAACATTCAGCATTAGCCGTCTTAAGAGACGCACGGCTAAACCCGAATGTTTCCGGTTCTAGGTCTAGTGTTAGTTCTGCAAAACCTCTTTGGTTTTTTCGACCGTGGTTCTGATTATTGTGTTATAATAATAACACAATTTAATTTAACTCTAATTTAATTCTAACTTTCAATGTAATTCCCAAAATCGACCCAGTGCTTTTCCCTTCGAAAGCCACCTTACATTTGTACACATTAGCAGTGTATAGTGATCACTTCCCATTTCTTTGCATAATTGTGAAAAAATCCGCGTGTTTAGCGCTCTACTTTTAATAAAATTTATTATTCTGATACACATATGTAAGACCGTTTTTAATTCTGCAGGAATTCTGTTTGTAACCAACGCTTCTCGATGTATAGCACAATGGCACCACTCTGCAGATGAAGATACTTGCTTTATTCTCGCCTTCAGACCTGTTATTCTTCCAGACATAGCTTTAGCACCATCTGTACTTACACCAACACATTTCGTCCCATCGATTTTATTTTTATTGAAAAACGTATTTAATTTTTCAAAAATTTCTTCTGTGGTGGTGTTAATAAGAAATCTACGAAGAATCTTTTATGTTTTCTGCCATACTTTCAATTTTTCTTTACACTGTATTGTTTGACAACGGAATTTGTGTTTAAAATTGTGTTAAAATGCGTGTTTTTTTTTTGTACCTCTGGGTGCTTTGTTTCAAACTGGTGTTTTAACTTAGCTGGTTTCATAGAATCATTTGCTAGCACCTGGCTGCAAATAACATACTGCAGTCGTGTTTTGTCAGATTTCGAGGACAGAAATGTTGTAAAACTCGACAGGAAGTTTTACAAAGGAAGTTACAAACAAAACTGGATCTGAAAGAAACGTATTCTTTCGTTTCGAGTTAAAACTGATTTTTCTATATGAAATTTGAGTAACGATATCTGTTGTTTCATTACCCTGTATAATAAAAAAGTAAAAATGTATTCGCCTTTGTAACATTTTCTCACCAAATATTGCTTGAAAAATGTTAATATTGAGTTTGATTACTTAATTTCTTCTTTAAGTAAACGATTTTTGCGAACCTTCACTAAGAACACAAACACTGATGGATTTAAAAGAAGAAGTAGAAAGAAGAGTTAACTTATAACGAGAAAGTAGTCGCTAAAAAACAAAACAGGAAACTTAAAAAGTAATATTAACAATCTCCATACCCAAAATGTCCTAAAAAACGTTACATATTTCTTATGATTGTGAGAGTGATATTAATCTTTAATACAATCTATGTATGCAATTTCGTATGTTGTTTTTATTTTTATGTAATTTATTTGCCTACTATTTTTTTCTCGGTTACAGCATTCTAAGTTCTTTGTACACAGACTTTTGCTGCTGAGTGTATATGGTTAGCACGATCGATGACGTCACAAAAAGTGACGTCACGTCAAAACTTTAAAGTGATTTTTCGGTAAGATTCACACTTTTCTGCACTTTTTGACATGATGATTCTTGAATTATAGTTTTAAATTAAATATTAATATTTAAAAGATTAAATTTGAAGTAAAATTTTTTTTTTGGTTATATTTACCATATTTGGTGGAGGTTGTAAAACTAAACGGGCTTGTTTAGTTCTTTCCGCTCTATAATAAGTTTCAAAGGTGGATCGCGAACCTAAAACGCTAGAAATGTGCGAACAGCGATAAATCGGCGAGAAATCAATCATTTCTTGGGCGCAAAGATCTTCATCTTCTCCGTAATCTTTAATTTCAAACTCATCATTTACTACAAAAGTAAAAATTAGTCCCTAATTAAACAAGACGAGATTTTTTTACCATCTTTTGGTGGAATTCGTTTCTTTTTACGACCTATTCCTGTGGGATCAGTAGGAAGTTGCTCACTCGTCTATAATAAAGATTACAAATGTATTTATTAAAAATTAATTTAGTATTATTACATGTGACATAGCCACTTCTCCAATTTTAGGAGAAAATCTCCTAATATTCTCCAAAAAATCCCTTAAATCCGACATTGAACTTTTCTCAATATTTTGTCGAATCCTAAAATTAAATTTTTAATAAAAATAACTCCTAAATATCAATTAAAACAATTACTTTGGAATATTTGCGCATAATTCAGCTGAAAATCGATAATTAGCAACATGGGGTAAATGAACATGTTCTAATTCCTCCAAAGTTTTTAAAGCAGGGTAATACCGTTTATCAGCAATTTGCTTTTTTAACTTTGTATAAGTAGTTAAAACCGGAAGACATAAATTCATTTGTGAAATGACCATTGCAATGTTGCTTTGAACTTTCCGAGCTTGCAATAATTCCGCCCCCGATTTATTTAAAGCTTCTGATGCTTCTTGTAGGCTTTTATTAATAGTAACAACTTCGCCCTAAAACGAATAAAAGCTAATTTGTTGTAATTAAGCCCTGGAAAGTACTTACATTTAGCTTTTTAGCCTGCGATCTAACTTCTAAAAGCTCCCTAATCGCCTCAATAAACCCGTGATAAGACACATTGCAGAGTCGTTCGATATCACGATCATAATGTTTAACTCGTTGTTGTAACTTCTCATTGAAGGTTTCTTGCTCGTTTCGGTCGTAAATAGCTCTACAAAGGTAATTGGTACATAGATTTGTGTTTAGGGATAAATACTTGGTTTTAACCTAAAAGTTGGGCCCCAATAATCGTCGACACCTTCAATTTCTTGCAAATATTGATCGTATTGACTTGTTGATTGAGAAATTGTTTGTTCCATGATTTAATTTGTTAACTTATTCTCCAAGATAAAAATAGTGAGGTTAGGTTAATTGGTTGTGTATGCAACCAAATATACAACGAAATTTACGTTACTCTTATTTTATTTATTTGGGGTTTATATTATTTTTAGTCTTTTTATGAAATGATGAAATTAATATTCTTGTATTTTATTAATGTTTTATTGATTTATTTATAATTTTATAGGTTTATAATGAAAAATAAATATGTTAATTTGTTAATAAGTATATTGGGTTGCATAATTATTGACATTGATGTAAAATCCATGAATTATAATTACTTTATTAAATATATATTAAAGTCTTCTTTCTGTTATATTTAGTTTTAACCACTCGTACACGTTTTACATTATAAAAAAATCAAAAAGTAATTCGCGTTTTAAATTGCCTTAAAATATTTGACATGATGAGAAGATAGATAAGCGACAGATGGCGCTAACTCCTATGCGTCTTTTTGAAGTGATATTTTTTGACGTTTCATACAAAAAAAAATTATTTATCTCATTTTGCGTTAGAAATAAAACTAAAACTAGAAATTTTGAGGTTATGCCGTGCGTCTTTGACTTACGATTAGTTTTATTTCTTATTACATCGGCAGAACAGTCTATGGAAATGTTGTGATTAAAATAATTTTGTGTTTAAAAGTTTTCAACCATGCCGTTACCATGGTAACGTCTCGGACATCTTTAAAATAAAAACCACTTGTTGCATCAAGAGAAGTTTTATCAAAATTATCATGGTTATTTTAAACAATTTTCGCATTAAATGAAGCTGAAACACAATTTTTAAGGCAGAGTAAGTACATTTTTTAATTAGTTGTTATTGCGTTGTAAAAATTATGTTCTCAAGTTTTATTTAACACCTTCAGTGTTATAAATAAAACTAAAAATTTTGAGGTTATGCCTTGCGTCAAAGACTTAAATCTAAATCGTGGAGTACTTTGTAACAAAAAGTGAACTTGGCCGCCCTCAAGAACCGAGGGTTCTCAATGTTGTAGTATTCGTGATGGTCGGGGGCGGCCGATGTCTTCGAAAACGGCCGTGTTGGTACTTGAAAATGATGTTGAGGATTCCTAACCTCACTTTAATAACATAACCTAACGTCACTTGCAAATGACATTTTATTTTGACGTCTATTCTGAAGGTCCTAGGTCTGGTGTACAACTTGTAGTCTCTTTTCTGGTACTTTATGAACCATTAAGAATGTCGAAGCCGAGGTCGCTTGCGACTGAGGCTTTAGATTATGTTCATAACAATTAAAGTCTTCTTTCTGTTATATCATTATTGATAAAGATTGTTTGAAGCCGAGGTCGCTTGCGGCCGAGGCATTAGATTATGTTCCTAACAGATAAAGTCTTTTTTCTATTATATCAGTATCGAACGAGAATGTTTCAAGCCGAGGTCGCTTGCGGCCGAGGTCTTAGGTCTGGTGTACAACTTTTAGTCTTTTTTCTAGTACTTAATGAACCATTAAGAATATTGAAGCCGAGGTCGCTTGCGGCCGAGGCTTTAGATTATGTTCATAACCAAACCATCCGCAGTCTTTGTAACAATATTAACGAGTCATTGGGAACAGTGCACAGAATTTTGAAGGAAGGAGTCATAAAGAGACATAAAATGACAATAAGAAGCGTCGATTAGAATTTGCACTTTGTATGTTACAAGAACCTACCCTATATTTTCAAAAAATGTTAGAGTTTGTTCATATTACAACAAAAAGTCTGAATTTAATGGTAAAATATCGGCCTATTGTAACTCAAGAACCAGTAAAACGAAATTCTAAAAATCTAACACCTGTTGAAGTTACTCATCAAATTTATGTGGACATGATTACCGAAAAAGTTATTCCAGCTATAAAAGAAAAGTGCCCATCAAAATTCAAGATACAAGATAATGACCACATTGTAGTATAGATGATGGTGAAGTAATTCTGGCCGGAACAGCTAATGGATGGAATATTAGTTTGATTTGTCAGCCACCAAACAGCCCTGATTTTAATGTTCTTGATTTAGGCTTTTTTAATGCAATTCAGTCTATACAGCATAAAAGCTCGATGCATAATATAGATGAATTAATTGCTGCTGTTTTGAAGGCATGGGATGATACATCTGCATATAAATTAGACAAAGTTTTTATGACACTGCAGAAATGTATGAAGTCTTCCATGCTTCATAAAGGAGTTAACAATTACAAAATCCCTACTGGACAATTACAAAGAAATGTAATTTGTTCAAAAGAAGCTGTTGAAACTGCACGGATGGCATTAAATAGTTTATAATTTTTATTTAAATTATACTATAAAAAATTTGGTTCAATTATAATTTAATACAGTTCTGTTAATAAATTAAAATATACTTATATTTCACTTTTTTTAAAAGTTGACACTTATTTTGGAACAAATAAAATATACAAATTGGACACTTATTTTGGAACGGAGTTAGTATTATTTTATAAATAATGGATTATGTACCTACTGTGAATTTAACTCATACATTACCATTTCTTCAATAACAACTTATTTTCTTTTTGATGTGTTCATCTTAAAGAATTCATACATGTATAAAATATACATTAATAACTTCTTGGGTTATCATTAATATTATTACTTCCCATCTTGTTAGAATATTTATGTGAATAAAAAAACTTTGCTTTTCAGAAAGGTGGAATTTTCTTTATTTTCGGCTCAACCGGTTTCGACTATTCTTTTTTAGTCATCTTCAGGAACAATAGCCACGTCGGTTTCACTCTTAATTTTCATAATCTGTATAATATGTTTATTTTTATTTTATTTTAGTTTCAAAAACATAAAATTAGAAACAAATTTAACATCATTTAATAACAAAGATTCAAGAAAACGTAAATGAAAGAAAAGATGAATTCAGAAAAATTAAGAGTGAAACCGACGTGGCTATTGTTCCTGAAGATGACTAAAAAAGAATAGTCGAAACCGGTTGAGCCGAAAATAAAGAAAATTCCACCCTTCTGAAAAGCAAAGTTTTTTTATTCACATAAATATTCTTGGGTTATGTTTTTCGACACGATCATTCTTACCTTGTTTAACACAAAAGAATAATAATAACATTTTTTTTAATTAAAAACCAACCCCTTTATTAAAAGTAACAACATTTATTATATTTATTTCTTACTGTCTAAAAACTCTTCACTTGATTCTCTCCAAGCCTCATCTATAATAGCATGTTTTGAACAACATACATTTTTATAATATTCGCATTCTATATCAAAATTTATTTCTGATGCCAACCAGCATTGATCATAATCAACACATCTGCAGTTATCATTGTGTTTATACTGAAAATATTTATTAATATCAACCGAATTATCAAACTCGTCGATTTCTGCTTGAACGATTTTAATTAAAATAATTGAAATAATCATCACAGCGTAAAACTTCATGATTATATCCCAGGTTTTTTTTTATTGATAATCTGTTAATATAAAATAATTTAATTTAATTAAAATAAATTCGCTAATTTAAACTTACCGGATTAATAGATTCTTGACGAGGATTTTGATAACGTTACAAGATTAGTTGTGCGGAGATGAGTTTTAAAATTTATATATGTACCTCCTCAAAACAGAATTTAAATTGAAAATAAATGAATAATCAGAAAAATCGTGGAATTGATGTAATAAGCGGGGAAACCCATATATTACCATAAAAAAGTAATTTGGTGATTTCATTAAAATGAAAGAAAAATCTATATTTATACAATTATCTAGCTTCCGTTTAATTTATTCTTCTTTCTATCGTTTCTCGACAAAGTTTATCGCACCAAATCATGAATAATCGAAAATAACTAACAAATAATTATGCGGAATCAAAAATGAAGCAATAAAATAATTAAGAAATTGCAAAATTACAAAATCGAATCTTTTATTGACATTGACAGCTATAAAATATACACTGTGTTAATTAATTGGACCGCGTTATGCATCACTTGACTAAGCGACAAATCAACAATGTTGAGAAAAACGGGATTTTCGTTTTCATCTCTCTAAAAATGTGACTTTTCAGAATAGACAGGCTCAAACGATTGAAAATTGTTTGGTGCCTATCTATTTTTATCACAGAACATTGATAACAGTCATCACAAGCACAGAATCCGCTTGATCAGTCGTTTTACGATTATAATACAGGATGTTTCTGTAAGTCGTGACATTTAACCACAAATACTAGAGTGCAAATGATGTTTCCATTATTTTATCCATTTTACAAATGTGTTTCTTAATATTTCTTTTACTTTTGTTAAAAAAGATCATATATCAAAGTCGAAATCAGATTATTAGTTACTAATTTACAAAATTAAAGTTTAAAAAGTTGTAAAATGAAATTGAGGACGAAGTGTTATTTGTCACTTATTAATAATCGTATTTGTAATCTTCAATAAAAATTTTTTAAAATGAGTACAAACACCACATGTTTATCTTCAATATTAATGAAGTTAAGGTCAACTTCCGGTTAAGAATGTCAACGTCAATTTTGACATATTTGTAATCGTCGTGAAAAATCCTTTAAAATGAGTCCAAACATGATACGTTTAATTCCAATATTACTCGAGATATAAGCAACTTCCGGTTTGAAATGTCAATGTCATTTTGACATATTCTTAATTTTTATAAAAAGTCTTAATATTTGTCACAAAAACAAAAATATAAAAAAAAAAAATAAAAAATTAAGGTTGGTATTAATATTTAAAAATTAAATTGCTATCTTCATTGTTGCTAACTTCGGGTTTAATGTTTTTTATTCTAACTTTTTTGTTTTTTGAGATAAGTGCGTCATCTTTGGACTCATTTTAAAGGTTTTTTAATGAAGGTGACAAATATGTCAAAATTGACGTTGACGTTTCAAACCGGAAGTGATTGTATCTCCATTAATATCAAAGTTAAATATGTCGAGTTTGGACTCATTTTAAAGGATTTTTTATAAAGTTGACAAATATGTTTGGTTTTTTGAGATAAATGCATCATGTTTGGACTCACTTTAAAGGTTATTTTATGAAGATTATGAATATCGT